GTAAACAAAGTTTTTCATTCAATACAATCTGGTTCCGTTTTACAATGGCTCATGGCCGAAATATATACAAGGGAAGGGAAGGGGAAATACAATCAAATGAAGATAAATACAACAGGGAAACTTCCAATCTTCTTCCTAATCATTCACATGCTTTGACATTAATACACTACCATACAAATGATTTGAATTCCATGACAAAGATAAGGGATTGTGGAGGATTTGTTTTGGCTTTATTTGGAAGCTGCGTTTCAGCCATTAGGGAAAAGAATAAGGAGGTGATTAGGATTGGTTTTTTAGTAAAGAAAAAGGACAAAGGGGTTTATTCAATAAAAGGTAGAAAACAAGAAATTTGGGTGGATTATTTTTGGCTTGGTTTGGGGCTGTCCATTCGGCCTTAAGTGGGGGAATCACAACAAGATGTTTTAGGTAGCATTGGGGATTGAATTTGGCTTGTTTTGATGGGAACAATTCGGCCATATGGGTTCAACACAAAGAAAACAACATGGCTTGACTTTAAGTGAATAATAGGACAAGAAGTTACTATTCAATCAAAGACTTCTTTGCTGATTTTGCCCTTTTGTTTTGTGTGATGATTTAGGCCTGATTTTGGGGAGAAAAATGGTAGAGAATTTCGTCCTTAGTTTTAGGAAATAAATAGGAAAGACATTATTTTGGTAAAGGGACTTTAAAAGAAACAAACAAAAGTTTTAAAAGATAAAAACAAGAAACTAAGGTTTTATTTTGTCTTCTTTGGTCTCATTTTCGTCCAAGGCTTCAAAATGGATGGGGAAGACTTTATTTTGGATAAAACAAAAGATAAAATACTTTTGGATATGTTGGGAGAGGTTTGGGTTTTGGTGGAGCCATCCAGGGGTACATCATACTCCTCTTCTTCAAAGAAAGTTTGTCCTCAAACTTTCGCACCACCGTGAAAAGGTCTCTAGTTCATTTAAGAATTCCCGGATCAAATGGGAAATTCAAGGATCAACCAATAATAAGGTTCCTTCCGGAATTAGTGGACACCTCGTTGTGTAATTTCCGGAACATGATGCCATGCCTTGTAAAAACCTGCTTCGAACATACCTTAGAGATGAGATAAAATTTTCCTTCATTGAAAAGATGATAATACTCTATGGAAATCACTTCCTTAGAATATATAACTTCCGGTGTGGCTTCCTCTATAAATATCTCCTCAACGAAATCATCATGAATAAGGAAAGAATCATTATAGTGTGATTCTTCCTGAGCATTAGAAGCCGGTTCTTCTACGAAGACGTCATCTTCATCTTTGACAGGAATATCAAAGACGTCTTCCTCATTGACAAATTGGTCACATGAGCTTTTCTTTTCCTCCTCATGAATCATGACCCACTCTTCATATGGTATGGCATACTTATTTGAACATTCCCAGTGGCCATGACCACAGCCACCACACATGAAACATCGCCGAGTAGCCCATTGCAATATTGCTCCATTTGCAAGGACAATTTCCAGATTTCTAAGGTGTCTTTTAGAGACCATATCTCACAAACCGGAGATTGGAATTAGGTAATTCCAACTCTCAGAGCTAGATATTCACGTCCATAAAGACATATCAAAAATTTGGAGCCATTAAAGAACGTTTGCTACCTCTTTGGAGACAAATTCAGCAAGGTAGATAGAATTCGTCCAGGACTCTGCTATCAACTTCGGGAGGGCGTATCTCACTAACCACAACTCGGAATTGAGTGAAATCAGCGGCCACGCGTAGCAAAAACGTTAAACTTTCATACTGGAAAATTTCACTACCAAATCTGTTGTGTAGCTTCCTCCGTGATCAATTCTTTGGAGCTGAAAGTTTCTGGAAAAATTTTCAGCAACCTTCTTTTGGGTACGTTTGTGAAGTTGGTCCACAAGGTGATCGTCGAGACTTAAGGAAGTCTTCGAATATAGCTCTGATAGCAAATGTTGTACCCGAGACCCGGGGTCTTATCAAGTAATCAATTTGATGGCGGGTTTACGGAGGAAATGGAAGCAAGAAGGAAACAACTTTGAACTCCAAAGTTCAGAAACGCGTGATAGTCGATTATCATTAACTGATAATCGATTAACAAGATATGATTTCCAAACCACGAATGTTCTGAGATGCACGATAGTCGATTATCACTTTTATGATAATCGATTGTTGGAAATGACGGGGTAAATATGGCGGTGATGAAGGAGTTCTTTTTGGTGTTTTGATTTATGAAGATAGAATAGAATGTGGTATAGGAATAGAAAATGGAGAGGAACGAAATGGATAGAGAACAAGGATGGATAAACCAAATAATGAATAAGAGATAAACACACTCTTATTATATTTGGGGCTGATATCTATTTCACACAATAATAATCACTACTAATGTATAAAATAGACTCCTAACACACACTCAAAAGTAGCCAACTTTAGAGATATTTCATTAGGAAATTTGGTTAAAATAGTATCACACTATTTTAAGAGAATACTCAAAAGAGTAAACAAAGTTTTTCATTCAATACAATCTGGTTCCGTTTTACAATGGCTCATGGCCGAAATATATACAAGGGAAGGGAAGGGGAAATACAATCAAATGAAGATAAATACAACAGGGAAACTTCCAATCTTCTTCCTAATCATTCACATGCTTTGACATTAATACACTACCATACAAATGATTTGAATTCCATGACAAAGATAAGGGATTGTGGAGGATTTGTTTTGGCTTTATTTGGAAGCTGCGTTTCAGCCATTAGGGAAAAGAATAAGGAGGTGATTAGGATTGGTTTTTTAGTAAAGAAAAAGGACAAA